ATTTTATTTATGCTTTCTTGGGATGTGGGCCTTGCTGAAAAGGCCAACATCATTTGCCCATCCCTCACTGCCCTTGAAATGAGCGGCTTGTTGGACCCACTTCACAGGGCAGTTAAGAGTCAACTCCGGGCCCTCTTTTATTTGTCAGAAATGTAAATGACTGGGATGAGAATATAATAACGCATGCTTGGTATGTTTGTGGGTAACACAAATTGGTTGCATGGTATACAGCTAAGAAGGTTTTCTAAGATCAGAAAGGGATATTGATTAAATCGATCAATGGCCTGAAAAATGGCAGATGGAGTTTAATTTGGATAAATGCAAACTATTACATTTTGATACAACAAACTGGGACAGGACTTATACAATTAATGGTAGAGCATTGGGTAGTGCTGTAGAACAGAGGGACCTAGGGGGTCAGGTACGTAATTCTTTGAAGTTTGCATCACAGGTGGACAGGGTGGTTAAAAAGACATTTGGCACGCTTGCCTTCATTGCTTAGTCGTTTGAGCATAGGAGTTGGGAACTCATGTTGAGATCGTACAGGACATCAGTGAGGCCCTTTCTAGTGCAGTGTTTCTAGTTCTGGTCGCCCAGTTACAGGAAGGATATTTTTAAGCTGGAGAGGGTTCAGAAGAGACTTACCAGGATATTGCCTGGTATGGAAGGATGAGTTATATAAAAAAAAGGCTGGATATGCTGGGACATTTAACCTCATTGGTGGGGGGGAACAAAGGTTGAGAGGTGACCTTATAGGAGGTTTACAAAACCATGAGAGGTGTTGATAGGGTTAACGGTAGATGTCTTTTCTATAGGAATGGGATTTCAAAACTAGTGGACATATTTTTAAGGTGAGAGGAATAATATTTTAAAAAAAGACGACATGAGAGGCAATTTTTTTTTCTTACAGATGGTGGTTTGTGTGCGGAATGAACTTCCTGAGGATGTGTTGGATGCGGGCACAGTTACAATGTTTAAGGGACACTTAAATAAGTACATGAATAGGAAATGTTTGGAGGGTTATGGGCCAAGAGCAGGCAGGTGGGACTAGTTATTTTGGGATTATGTTCAGCGTGGACTAGTTAGACTGATGGGTCTGTTTCTGTGCTGTACAACTCTGATTCTATATTGCAGAGTCTGGCATCACGTATAGGCCAAACCAGGCAAGAACAGCAGACTTCCTTTCCTAAGTGATATTAGACAAAATGGTTCTGAATACAAATATTTTTCACAACAATGCATCCTGTGATTCATATTAATGAATCTGAATTTGTTTAAGGGGGGTAAAGACTCAATATATACAATGCATACATATATCCTATGAATAGATTTCAATCCATTGGTGATAGATCACCCTCCGTAGCCTACTATCAACGTCTGCACCTTCTACAATCTCTCGGTTCCACGCTTGCGTATCCAATCACTGCCACAGCATCTCAAGTTATGGCCACTTTCTCTACGTTGCATTGTACCATTCAACGCTAAAGCATCTATTCTTGGTTCTCTTCATCATCTTTGCACAAAATGCAAAAGAAAACCTCTGGGTGGAAATAAGAGGGGGAAGTGGAAAAAAAAATCACACCGACTCAGAAAGGGTTCTCGTGAGGTTGAAGGAGGTTGCAAGCTTTATTTCCTGTTCTATATCAGTCTGAAAGAATGCAGATCTAAGGCAGCTGTCGTTGCATATTCATTTCAGTCAGAAGGTTATGGCATCAAGTCCCATTCCAGAAGCCTGAGCAGAAAAAGACCTAGGCTGATACTCCAACATGGGCAGATTGATCTAAGATTTGCAATTACTTTTCCTAATTAAAGATCTATTATTTTTTTTTTAAAAAAGGCACATTTTAAAAATATCTATGACCAATCCTACCTCTCAGGTGGATGTAAAAGACCCTGGCACTGTTTCAATGAAGACTGGAGGTTTTCTCTCAACTTTTCTCCCCTCCAATAGTAATCCCATCAATCAATACCTACATAGATATTTTTGTTATTCCAAACCTCTCGAGCAATTAGGATTTGAACCCAGGCCTTCCTGCCCAGAGGTAGGGACGTTATCACTGTACCACAAAAGCCCCACCTAATAGCCATGTACATTATGTTAACATCACATTGCTGTTTGAGATTTTCTAAAAGAGTGACTACACATCAAAAGTGCTACCCAATTGGCCACAAAACACTTGGAGACATCTGGAATTTGTGAAAACATGCTCTTAAAAATCCAAAACTTTCTTTAATACTTGATGTATGTGTGCTTTTAACTTCATTTAATTTAAATGAACTTTCATGCATAAAGAATGTAGATTAAGGTCCTGAACCTAATCTAAACTAATCTGTATAAATTTGTATTCAATTTGAGATAGCTACTCAAAGATTGTTCCACAAATGACAAACCAACGCCATCTAGAGGTGACAGAATTAAAGCATCTTTTGTAGTACGAGATTTCACATTATTTTCTTAAAAGATTATTTAGATTAAATACTAAAAGGCATTTAATAAGATATGTATTAGTTATTAAAGTTATTAAATATTATCCTTACTATGCTCATTTGTTACTTGCCTCTTCCCTAGCACTGTTGGATTTGGATGTTCCTCTAATCCAGAAGTAAAAAAGCACAAAATAACAGTTTGAATGGAAAAATCAAACAAAATCATACATAGTAAAACAGGAGCAGAATCTTTCGCTCTTGCTGGTGAGTTTGGAGTTGAGATGGGCATTTACATAGGTAGCAGGGGTGGGGGTGCAGGAGGTGTCTTACCTGAATCCCACTGCCCTCCCACCTCAAATCACAGAAAAGGCTAGAAGAGAAGGACTTTGGTAAATCTTCCTGATCCTTGGCCAATTGAAGTTTTTAAGTGGCCCATTAAGGAACACTTAATGGCCTCATGTCATCATCACCAGGATTAATCCAGCTGTAAGAAACAACACCGTATGGAGCTGGAGGAACACAGCAGGTCAGGCAACATCAGAGGAACAGGAAAGTTGACATTTCGGGTCAGGACCCTTCTTCAGAACTGTTGAGGAGGAAGGGAGCTGGGAAATAAATAGAGGGACGAGGGGTAGAGCTGGGGAAAGGTAGTTGGGATGGTGATATCTGGATGTAGGTAGGTTGTGGTGGGGATTGGTCAGTGGGATGGGTGGAAGAGAAGATGGACAGGTAGTGTCAGGTCAAGGAGGCGGGAGGGAGGATGGGTGGGGCGGTGATAGGTGGATGCAGGTATGGGGTAGTGGGGATTGGTAGGTGGGAAGGATAGGGTGGATAGGTGGGGAAGAAGATGGACAAGTTATGTCAGGTCAAGGAGGTGGGGACAAGAGGGAGGTTTGGACATGGGATGGGGGGGTGGGGAAGAGTAGATTTTGAAACTGGTGAATTTTATGTTCAGGCCATTGGGCTGTAGGTTCCCAAGGTGGAATATGAGGCGTTGCTCCTCCAGTTTGCAGGTAGCGTTATTGTGGCACTAGACCATTTTAACTCCCCCCTTCCCCAATCCCTTGATGACATGTCCATCCTGGGCCTCCTCCAGTGCCACAATGACATCACACGCAAACTGGAGGAGCAATACTTCATATTCTGCCTCGGGAGCCTACAGCCCGATGCCCTGAACATAGCATTCACCAGTTTTAAAATCTCCCCACGCCCGGCCTCATCCCACATCTAAACTTCCCTCTCATCCCCGCCTCCTTGACCTGACACCTGCCCATCTTCTTCCTCACCTATCCACCCCACCCATCTCCACTGACCAATTCCCATCACTCCCTACCTGCATCCACATATCACCATCCGACCTACCCTTCCCCAGCTCCACCCCTCCTCTCTCTAATTTATTTCAGACCTCCCTTCCCCCTCCCCAGTTCTGAAGAAGGCTCCTGACCCGAAACGTCAGCTTTCCTGGTCCTCTGATGCTGCCTGGCCTGCTGTGTTGTCTCTGACTCCAGCATCCACAGTTCTTACTACTTCCCTTAATCCACACATTACTGTTCAACAAGTGCAGGCTGCTTGCCTCGCTGGGTTGTTGGGGAAAAGGGATTCCTTGGTCAAAGGTAATCCATGCCTCATCAAGGGAGACAGGCATGTCCCACGAGAACCATACCATGTTTATTTTCGAACCTCTGCCCCTCAGAATTTTGGAATAAAAACCATCTTAATTCCAGGTTGCAACTCAGACGGATTCTGAGCATAGCCTCACACATACAATTCAGTAACTGACCTGAGATGTCACCTTTTGTATATCCCTATGGCTCTGCCTGATTGTCATCATGACAGCACAGCACGGACATTGACTTTATAGACATTTTTCACACCGTCTAACACTCTTGGTCCCCTGCAGAGACTTATTATTCAACACTCCACTCACACCAGTCATATGATCTTTTGGTCTCTCTGCCTACAAACTCTGTTTGCATGCCCTGCTCTCTCACTGCACCTGATGAAGGGGCTGCGCTCTGAAAGTTTGAGGTTCCAAATAAACCTATTGGACTATAACCTAATATCGTGTGACTTTGACATACATGGTCAGTAGGCCTTTCTGAAAATAGACAGAGCGGATCTCTCACCAGCTCTCCAGAGGGCAAGACTGACCCCGAATAACTCAACAAGATTTCACCCAAGGTCTTTAGGGAGCTCCTGGTTTTGCAACTTTGCAAATCAAATAGCGCTAATAATGAAAGAGAAACAATCGAGTTATTAAAAATAAATTCACAGGAAGGCAGCATACAGGAGAAACATTAGAGGGGAAAAACAAAAAGTTGGATCCACATAGACTCAGCAAAGGCTCCACTTTCTGGAAAATACTACCCCCAAATTATTACTGTAAGCTTTCTATTGGCATGGTTCTGTTGTGACTGATGAGTGTAGCTCACTTTAATCAACTGCAGAAAAACAAGCATCTTCGTTACCTTTTCTGAGGATGATAATCAGTACAGCTGGGAAACATAGGAACAGAATATCAGAAAGAAACAACTACTTTTAAAAATTGTTGGAGTAAAATATGCTTCACTTACTTTTTCCTGATCATTATTTTGCAGTTCTCATCCTGCAGGCTCCAGAGACTCACATATGGCAGTTCAAACGCATTCAGCCTTTTCAGTACTGGCCCAAGAAACAGACAACATAAACACATCAGAAGTATGCTTGACAATTTCCATTTCA